ACAAGTACATGACACCAAGACTGTATCATAGAATATCATCTGCGGAAAAAGCATGTAAGGAGCTTTAAGATAAGCGGACTTTGCATGTTATTCTTAGAGCTTTCCTTGCGGTATCACTTGTGGCACTATAGGGCAAGTGTAGTTGCTGGGAGCTAACAGCACGTCGCTATCAATGTTTATTGCAAGAATGGCTACGCTTACGACAGAAAGAGAACCACGTTGAGCCGCGAATCCGCCCGCTTTACTGCTCGATGATTGATGTATAGGTTGGTTCGGCCACAATACTTAGCAGATGGCCGATGATGAAAATTTTGTATTGACAGAAAATTGAGTGTGATTAACTATACTTTACTTTACTTTACTTATACACTCAAAGGTGTAACACAAAAGGAAAAGAAACAGCAAAATACAATGCCAGCTAGTCTTAAACGCAACGGAAGTCAAACGCGCACGTTAGAATGAACTAGAAGACTCAGTCCCATAAAATCTGCCAAACAATCAACAGATAAAAATACTGATTTGCGTAAATGCTGCTTCAATATCGCACTCAATAATTTTTGGGAAGCGCCCTACAATTAAGTTGTCGTGAATTTTGCTTGTGAACGACTCTTCCGTTTGATGACGCATCAAGTACAACTCGCAATGCTTTTGGTTTTTGGGGTTTTCATACTCCCGAATGTGGCATATAGTAAATACCACAATTTTCTCTACTATTTTCCGTACTTCTTCGAGTATGTCATTTTTGTAATCTGCCATAATTTTGCTATATCAGTTGTTTTGTTCGTTATTTTCTGCGCTACTGATGCCATAAAGAAACGAGCCGACGCTGAGCGACGGGGTAGTTGTCAGCGGGGTCAGCTATGTTGTCTCGCAGAGGGAACGAAGCTCTTGCGTAGCTGCTATCATAAGATATCGATTTTGTATACTCTCGGAAGTAATTGTAGGTAATTTTGTCTTGTTTTGCATCATCAGCGTATATGCTTAAATCGTTAAGCTCAAACGTGTTTTGCAAGATGACCGCAATCCATACATTATCGGAGGTTCGGCAACTTTTGGGTTGGGTTTATTCCTCGCCCGTGGATTGCAGGACCGAAAGTGGTCCTCGTAATATATAATCCCGACGGTAGGATTTGTTATCATCAGAACTGTCTTCTGTAAGCTATGCAGCCTCTGCTGGATTAATAACCTCATCAGTGCTTTTGCTCTGTGTAGGATTTCCAGGATCCGATAATGTTTCGGTCTGGGATACATCGCTGGTTATATACAGCTTTCTCGCCATTTGCTCGGCTTATTTGTGCGCTCTTCGATAGTCTTTTGCTTAACGTATCAAATAGGTGGCTTTATGCATACATTCGGTAAAGTTTGCCTGAATTTCTACCTCCATCTTTATCCGCATCTATTTTAATGATCTTGCGGGCCTCTTCGTAATCTCGCAGCAGTTGTCTATTGATAACTGCAGCGAATTCCTGCTGTGGTTGACACTTATGGCACTCTTTAGGTATAAAGCATACCTTCAGCGATCCCGCCGTTACGACTTTCGATCGCTGCAATTAGACTGCTTGGGCGACCGTTCACTGCGTGAAAATCGCTCATTGCTTGATTGCCGGAATTACTCAAAGCGATTTCGTAGACGCTCACCCACACACACCGTCTTGTACGCACTTCCAAAAAATTTGCGCTAAATTGTCTGAAGTGCATTTATTCAAGGCAAGTCGAACAGAATGTTGTGCCACATGCTTCAGAGAATATCATCAAGATGACACTTATCCTAGTATTTACCAACGTTTTTCTACCTGCGGAAGTTAGCATCTGCAATAAAGTCGGCTACTAGTTCATGAATTTTGAGCTCACTCTTTCAACCATCGGTAAGCGTATACTTTACTTCGTTACACTAAAGCCATGTGTTTGGCTTTGCAAAAAAAACTCTGGGTAGGCATATTTCAACAACGAATGCTGCGCGAGCTCTTACCTGCCATTCTGCGAACAATTACGCATATATACCTGAGCAACCGAGATCGCATATCTATTCTGCCTCAGAAAATATAGCAAGAACATTCGAGAATCGGTCCTCATTTGATTGTTATTGGTAAACAAGAACAGGAGAAGATTAGTGCATTGCGAGAACAGTCGAATTCCATGCGTTTAGCGGGCATGGGCCTGCAGACATTTGAATACGTAGAAGCTTGTTAGACTTTCATCTTGAAGCACTAGTTTTTGAACTGTCTCGGCATCAAAAACTGCCACGCGAATACGTTGGCAAACGTCGGCAAAACTTCGCTCGCTATACACTGGGGAATGGACGATAACACAGAGGGTGAGGTGACATATGGAAAGCAATTCATACTATACTTCGCATGCGTTGTTTCCAATGATTAATGATATGGAACGCTTAATGACCATTTTTCTCGGAAAATATGTCCGAGGTGGGAATTGCGACGCGACTGGGAAGGTATGTCGTATAGGCAGCGGCTCGGCAGAATTTCGTTTTCCAGATTTTCACCTTTTCGGGCCTTCTCGTCATGAGAAACCCATATCAGGACTTTTCAGCGCATGAAAATGGCGAAAGTGAGATTTTTTCAAGCTTTCCGGATTCGAATCCAGTGAAGATACGGCGGAAAAAGCGTCCCGCCCTCCTCGTTCCACGCCCCGCCCACTTCTTCACTGAATGCGGGCCTAGAAGCGTCTGAAAAAGTTCATTTTCGTCATTTTCAGCGCTGAAAACCTAGATATGGGCTTCTCATGGGGAGGAAGCCCCGAAAAAGTGAAAATCTGGAAAACGAAATTCTGCCGAACCGCTGCCTTTATGCTGTTGATCGTCGCGGCACGCTTCATAGTTGTCCCTAAGGGAAGCGTTCAGTTATAATTCCTTTATCTGGTGTGAATTTATCTACAAATACTCAAAGGGATTGTATGCCGCGAGCAGTGGCTTTCATAAACATCGACATCGCACAAAGGTTGTCGTAGTTCAATTCCACAAAGGATAGAACTATTCATGCGCTGCTTATTGCTGGGCTAGGTAGCGGCTCAGATTTGGCCGATGCGTTGGAATTGTGGCATTATGGGGCAACTGTAATTGCTGGAAGCACCTCGCTATCAACGTTTATTGCAAGACTGGCTAAGCTTACAACAGATAGAAACCTGTTGACCCCCTAAATGCGCCCGCTTTACGCTCGATGATTGATGGATAGGTCGGTTCGGCCACAATACGTAGCATGGCCGAACACCTCCATGCCCTAACGCAACCAACCGTTGTGTGATGTTTCGCGTGTAGTTTGATGTACTGCGATTGCTGTTAAAAATATCGAAACATTCATCCAGTTTGGACTGTGTTGATCTATTAACACAGCAGTCGTTGATGTAAAATACATCAAAGGTGTACGAGCTAGCACCGCTTCTTTAATTTTACTCATAAAGAAAATGCGAGACTTGGTGCTAATCTTGGACCTATAACTAGTTCACGTATTGAGAGTGTTGAGTCCTTGAGCATCTGAAGATGTTGCATTTTAAGCATTCGCTGATTAGGGTCATCGCTTGCCAAGTAAGCATGTTTATGGTAACAGCGTACATTCGTACGCTGTTAAAAAACAGCGTACGAAAGACCTAAACTTTCCTAACGATTGGATACATCACTACAATCTTTGAGGCAATTCTACTTGTTGACACGACAGTCCCTGACTTTCCTGGCTTCAAATTTATTCTTTTTATTTCTATTGATCCTTATATATGTACGACGGTGAGAACTTAAGGGTGGCCGGAGGGGAGGGTGGTACACTGATGGCCAAAGGGGACTTTGTAAATCTTAGGGCCGCATGCACTAATATCTCCGCGGGGAGGGGATCGCAGCTTCAGAAGAAAGCTTCATATCCTGAAGCTCCGGATATCTGGATTTCACGTTGTGTACCTATCCGTAAGTATTCCTACCACCCTTCACTATGAATATGTTGAAAAGGAGTGAGAAGCTGTAAGAACCGCATTTTCCAGCTTTTGTATGATCCCTGATGATCCCCGACGCTTTTCTTTCTAGTCATTTTTCTTTCTCCGAAGTTGACGAAAACCTTCCAAAGTTGTACTGAACATCTAACATAACAGTGTTAAGCATGTTGCTGATGAGAACAAATGAGTTTTTGAAAAGTCGAACAATTCGGTAAACCTCAAAATTCGACCCGTGGATCATCGAAAATTTCATGACTTCAAAACATCACTTGTTCTTTCATCAACATGCTTAGCACTGTCGGGTTAGATAATACGCAAAACTTTGGAGGTTTTCCGTTGATTTCGGAGAAAGAAAAATGACTTTAAAGAAAAGCGCCAGAGATCATCAGGGATCATACAAAAGCTGGAAAATGCGGTTTATTTAGCTTCTCGCTCCTCTTCAACATATTCATAGTGAAGGGTGGTAGGAATACTTACGGATAGGTACACAACGTGAAATCCAGATATCTGGAGCTTCAGAATATGAAGCTTTCTTTTAAGCTGCAATTCCCTCCCCAGCGGGGAGGTTAGTGCATGCGGCCCTTAGTGGAATCAAAAGAGACTATGTTCTGAAAAACTAGAAATCGACTCGTGCCGGGATCTGGACCACACTTTTTGTACCGTATCCTAGCGGACGACTTGCATCGGCCTTTTGGGCTTGGGGAGCCATCACGTAGGTGGTGATCTCCACCTAATTGCAAGCAGTCCGATGCAAGACGTCCGCCAAATACGGTAGTGGGTCCGATTTAGGGACAGAAGTCTCAGCGGCAAGTGCACCATCTTCGGTGCCGATTAGGCTGTGTGTCACGGTTAGGACTCCAAAATCAGTTTCCACCTGCGATCCTCACGCGCTCAGATTTGCCTCGCTGTCTTTCAATTGGCGCAGTTTGCGGTTGGAGGCGTCTTGTATCAAAGCAGGAGACTTTTAGCATTTTCATAATTCTTACTCGAAAACCTTTATCTAATCTAACTATCAAACGGAAGACTTTCGGACAAAAAGCAAAGAATGCGTAATTCTGTGGTTACAGGCAGCCGCTCCACTTCCTTTCGGATTGATACTCTCGGCATCTGCTCAGATAAAAAATATAAGAGGCTTGGGAGATCGAGAAATTCATCTGCTTGACAGGGTGTATCTCGGTGGGCAGCAGGATGTGCGTGGATTTGGTTTGAATACACTTGGCGTGAGTTTACATCCAATATTAACACCCGTCATTATTATAATTATTTTTTTTTATAGGTTCGATCTGAAAGTTCCTGTCTAGGAGGAGGTTCAAGTGCTTGTGGCGTTTTGCACTTATATCGCCCGCTGTTCCCACCAGAGGTTGGGATACTTTATCTGGAGTTGCGAGTAGCGTGGCGTATATGTAATCATTTTGTTCAGATGCTTTTCGCGCATGCTTTTGTGTCTGCGGGAAGTGTAGCACCAGTTCGATCAAGAAATGTCATTAGAGATTTACAAGATTCGCAGAGAGTTTCCGTTGGAGTAGGTATGTCATTTCATTTTGGAATATTGCGCTGTATTTTGGTTCTTCCTAACATATCATCTTATATATAAAGCTGAATGTCTGTTTGTATGTATGTATGTCTGTATGTATGTGTGTACGTATGTTCCGAATAGAAAATTCCATTTCTGAACCGATCCGGACCAAACTTGGCACACATACACTACGGGTCCCGGCGGGTGTCATAGGCTACTTTTCGTCATCGATCGATATCGATTTTATCGATTTTTATCGATTTTTTTGCTGAGTTCACCTACGGGGCTGGGAGTTGGCACAGGGGGGTAATCGAGCATGGGGATTCCGAATACAATATTGGTTTTCAGGATTATCGATTACTTTTATCGATTTTATCGATTTTTTTGCAAAGTTTGAGCTACGGGGCTGGGAGTTGGCACAGGGGGGTAATCGAGCATGGGGATTCCGAATACAATATTGGTTTTCAGGATTATCGATTACTTTTATTGATTTTATCGATTTTTTGCAAAGTTTGAGCTACGGGGCTGGGAGTTCGCACAGGGGGGTAATCGAGCATGGGGATTCCGAATACAATATTGGTTTTCGGGATTATCGATTACTTTTATCGATTTTATCGATTTTTTGCAAAGTTTGAGCTACGGGGCTGGGAGTTGGCACAGGGGGGTAATCGAGCATGCTGATCATCCCCAAGGGGGGTGATCAGCATGCTCGATTACACCCCTGTGCCAAATTCCAGCCCCCTAGCTCAAATTTTCAAAAAATCGATAAAATCGATAAAAGTAATGGACGATCTTGAAAACTAATATTGTATTCGTAATCTGCATGCTCGATTACCCCCTGTGCAAACTCCCAGCCCCGCAGGTCAAACTTTACAAAAAAATCGATAAAATCGATAAAAGTAATGGACGATCCTGAAAACTAATATTGTGTTCGTAATCAGCATGCTCGATTACCCCCCTGTGCAAAATCCCAGCCTCGCATGTCAAAATTTACAAAAAATCGAGAAAATCAACAAAAGTAACCGATAATTCTGAAAACTAATATTGTATTCGGAATCCCCATGCTCACTTCCCCCCTGTGCCAACTCCTAGCCCTGTAGGTGAACTCTGCGAAAAAATCGATAAAAATCGGTAAAATCGACATCGATCGATAACGAAAAGTGGACTGTGACAACCGCCGGAGCCCGAAGTGTATGTGTGCCAAGTTTGGTCCGGATACGGCGGAGCCGGGTAAGCCAGCTAGTACCCTATAACTACGAGACATGATACCGCATTGCACTTACTAACGAGCTCGTTTTTCCCTGGGTCAGGCCGCAAATTTTATGGTCAGATAAGATTAATCACGAATATAAACTTGCTGACCAAGTGATCAGGACTTGTTTGGACAATGTGTGCAATGTTGTTTCGAGTCTTTTAGTCTTAAAATATATTTCAGTCTCTCACATTGTATTGGCATACTCAGGGCTTATCAACCGCAGTGTCGGGTGCATCAGCATCTCCATTCCCGCACGAAATTGCATCTCTTTCGCCTCTGATAGCTTTCCCACCGCGAGCGTAGGAAAGGCGAAGCCTCAACGACTGGATGTAATTAGTGAGCATGTTCGCGGAAGAGGTGCAGAGTGCAGCGCGGGAGTGGACATGCTGATGCACCCGACACTTTACTTGATAAGCCCTGTACATATATTGTTGCTTTTCCCGGCGTACGTTGGGCTGAGCATTTGCAGACATCTGAATACGTTGGTGTAATTGTTAACCCTCTAATGCAAGACTTTGCTTGCAATCTCTCACTATCAAAAATGCCACGCGTGACAACAACATATGTACGTGGTAGTTTAGAGAGTACAAAGACCATGCTTTGCAGTAGAGATTTGACAAGTTCACCAGCGTGTTCCAGTTCTGCAAATGCTCCCAACTTACACCAGACATATCGAATTGTTTTGAGACGATAACGAATTGTTTTGAGCTTTAGAAAAATGAAATACTAGACAAATGCAAAAGATATAGTCCCCTCCATAGATCGTGCTACCCTTGGTCTGCGTCTCTCTCTCTTTTGGAAAATAAAGTTAATGGGGTCAGGCGCAACCCCTCCAAAGATCAGGCCGCCTGAGCTTTTGAGGGGTTGCGTTTGACCCCCTTAAATTGTTTTCAATATTCAAAAATCGCTCCTTTTTAGTATAAGTATTGAGCGCAAAGCCTCTTCTTGCTACATTGAAAATTTGGAGCCAAGCACTCCACCCCTGCAAAAACTACAAAAACTACTCTGAAAAAGGGCTATCCAAGTTTTTTTTGCCGTCAAGTTGTGTGTGGTTGTGCAATCACAGAAAGTTGGGCCTACAGCCAAAAAACAAGAATCTTTGAATAAAGGCTGGTCTTCTTCAAAATATCAAAGTCTAAGGTCCTGGAGGTGAAGCGGAGGAGTCATTTTAGGGGCTTTCACAGGGGGGGGGGGGTCTTTTTTCAAAGACTTGTGCCTGACCCTTTGCTCAACCCTGTAATATGTAATTATCATGTCAGATGACACCTGTAAACCAAGTTTTAGCGAAGGATTTTCCAGTATTGGGCCACTCAAGTGAAGTGGTCATTTTCAAACACGGTTAACCGTATTTCAAAAATGAATTAGCTACCTCTTTCTGTGCTTGATACAAAACACTACTCCCTATTTGCCCATATGAATCCTGTTCCAACTAACCATCAAACTGTGTAAATAGGAGCCGAAGACTTATTTGTCCCATTTTTCGCTTACAGTGCTTATGCTTCCAGCAACTATTGCTTGGAAGACAGAAGACAAATTTAGCTTCAATCACTTTAAAAAAACTATACGAGATTTTGGCTATCGAACTGCATATGTTTTGCTTGTTAATTGTCGTACATACCTAACCCAACCTTTGTTATTGCAGACTCATCTTGTTATATTCAGTATCTCTTAGCTTGTCGTTGACAGACGCTACTGTTCACTGACCACTCAGGCCGCCGGTTCGTGCCTTCAGTGTGCTTGATAGTTTACTTGGCGACGCCTACTTTCATGGCAATCCTTGATTCTTATGATACTATTGCTGTCCAGAAATGAGCATTCAGTTTATCCACGTCTAAGGGCCGCATGCACTAACCTCCCCGCTGGGGAGAGGATAGCAGCTCAAAAGAAAGCTTCATATTCTGAAGCTCCAGATATCTGGATTTCACGTTGTGTACCTATCCGCAAGTATTCCTACTATCCTTCACTATGAACATGTTGAACAGGAGCGAGAAGCTGTACAAGCCGCAGTTTCCAGCTTTTGTATGATCCCTGATGATCCCCGACGCTTTTTTTTCTAGTCATTTTTCTTTCTCGGAAGTTAACGAAAACCTTCCAATGTTGTACTGAACATCTAACATAACAGTGTTAAGCATGTTGCTGATGAGAACAAATGAGTTTTTGAAAAGTCGAACAATTCGGTAAACCTCAAAATTCGACCTGTGGATCATCGAAAATTTCATGACTTCAAAACATCATTTGTTCTTATCAGCAACATGCTTAGCACTGTCGGGTTAGATAATCTGCACAACTTTGGAGGTTATTTGTTAACTTCGCAGAAAGAAAAATGACTTCAAAGAAAAGAGCCGGGGATTATCAGGGATCATACAAAAGCTGGAAAATGCGGTTCTTACAGCTTCTCACTCCTTTTCAACATATTCATAGTGAAGGGTGGTAGGAATACTTACGGATAGGTACACAACGTGAAATCCAGGTATCTGAGGTTTCGAAATATAAAGCTTTCTTTTAAGCTACGATCCCCTTCCCGCGGGGATGTTAGTGCATGCGGCCCTAAAACAGTGGCATAAAAGGGCGTGATCAGTTCTGATGTTGCTTCGATTATTACCACTATCGTCAGCGGTTGTTCCGCATATTCACTATTGATAGTCAGCGGCTGCTCCGAAGCTATCTAATAAAATACCAAACTGGTATACATCAAGGTACATCATCATCATTCGGCATACGGATCACTTTCTGACGTTTGCTACCCAGGAAGCTGATAAAGTCCCGCGTGGCAAGATCATTCACCAAATTGAAAACCTCTTTGCGCGCTCTTTTCGAAGAGACCAGTGGATGGTAAAACAGCCGGTATCAACCATTGAATATCCTTTCTTTGCGCGCTCTTTTCGTAAGAGACCAGAGGGTAGTATAGAAAACAATCGGTATTCTAGCTACTTGGCAATTTGGAACCTTTTTTGCGCTCTCCTTCCCTAAAAGACCAGAGGGCTGTAAAGGCGTCATCAACAGTAGGTGATCGTAGATTTTTGAAAACTTTTCTAGTGCGTCCTTTTCTTAAGGAACCAAGAAGTGGGAAAGATTTTTGCTAGTAAGCGTTCGAATTCTAGTGAAATTTTCTTTGCGCGTCCTTTTCGTAAAGAACCAAAAAGCGGAACAGTTTTTGCGGTCTGATTTCTCATATTTCATTCGAGGACTGTTGAACTTCAAGGGTTTTATCAATCCTATACTGAGCAAGGTCCAAACCTATCAGTCAGCACAGCGTTCAAGCCAACGGCACGCTTGCTAAGTAGCTAGAAGAAGCTACGCACTCCACTTTTAAGCTCACTAGTGATTAGTTTGCATCCAGCAAGAAAACACCACAGAGGTTTAGCCCCAACCAATCTCCACTCGACAGCTGCGCATACTTAGTATGCAGTCAGAACTCCTCCAACAAAGTAGACATCTGCACTGCCACAGTACGCAGCCGACGAGAGTCGAGAGATAGAAGTCCATGCGCACTAGATAAACAATGACTAGGCTCACAGAATGTAAAACACGCATTTCAGTGGCTTGCTCTTCAGTCAGCCTCCAAGGCAAAATCAGGGAGATAGACCAAGCCTTCAACTTTCCAACAACGGATCGCAATGCAATGCCTTCATTATGGATGAAATGGTGGAATTCAAGAGGCAAAAATCTCTTCAAAAGGCTTTTCGGAATACCTGGAACACAAATCTAAAATGCTATGAACTTTCCCGGACTAAGGAAGGACCAATAAGAAAAGA